TTACACTTACAATAAGGAACCCACAAAACGCTATTCTAATTATTACGGCCGCTAAACCTAAACCCCAAACCACTTATAGAAACCCTTAAAGCAAGCCTTCCAAGGAGCCCCAAACCCCCAAAACCTTATTCTAATCATTAAGGCACTTCTGTAGTAAGGAACACCTAAACCCTAAACCCCTAAACCCTAAACCCTATACCTTAAACCCTAAACCCTCATATCCCCTAAACCCTCAAATCCCCTGAACCCTAAACCCTATACCCTAAACCCTAAACCCTCAAATCCCCTAAACCCCTAAACCCTAAACCCTCAAACCCCCTACACCCTTAAGGCCCTTTTTTGTTGCTAGAGCCTCCCAGGCCTGGGGTCACCTCTCCCAAGTCGGTTCCATGGCTCTTCTGCTCCCGGGGGCCGGGGGCCCCAGGGCATGAAGCAAGGTTTAGGGTTTAGGGTTTAGGGTTTAGGGTTTAGGGTTTAGGGTTTAGGGTTTGAGGGATTACGTAGGGTTTAAGGGTTTGGGGTTTAAGGTTTAGGGTTTAGGAGCGTAGGGTTTAGGGATTTGGGGTTTAAGGTTTAGGGTTTAAGGGTTTAGGGTTTAAGAGAGTTTAGGGTGTAAGAGTTTAGGGTTTAAGGGTTTAAGGGTTAAGGGTATGGGGAGCAGGGTTTAAGGTTCAGGGTTTGGGGTTTGGGGTTGACGGTTTAGGGTTTAGGGGTCAGGGATTGGGGCTCAGGTTGAAGGTTGGGGGTGCAGGGTTTAGGGTTTAGGGTTTAGGGTTTAGGGTTTAAGGTGTAGGCTTCAGGGTTTAGCTTCAGGGTTTGGCAGGCCTGTCGAATGAAGACTTCGGTCGTCAGCGTTTTAGGCTGCCAGGTTTGGTGTTCGAGGGCATTTTTGAGTTACAGGGCTTCGGGTAAGTTAGTGCCTTAGTGCACTAGGTCTGGCAGGTCTGACAAGGTCGAAGACCATGCTGTCCAAGCCTTTTGTGCTAGTGTCAGCCTATGGGAAAGGTCTTCTTAAGCTGAACAGTAATTTGATGGTTTAAGGGGGTTTAGTATCAGTGGTCGTTTAGGAGTTCGTGTGTTGTTGGTTGTGTTGGGCTTTCAGGGATTTGGGGTCCGGGTTCAACGGTGGTGCGGTAGTTCGGAGGCTAGGGATTTAAGGGTTTGAGTGCTGCAGATGCCCTAAACCCTAAACCCTAAACCCTAAACCCTAAACCCAAACCCTAAACCCCCATTGAATGGCATTGGGCTCGGAGGGAAAACACGGCCCGGTCAAAGACTTCGGGATTGAAAGTATTCCTCAGAGCCCTTTAAACAGAAAAGGTGTCTTTAAGTCAAAAAAAAGAAACCCTGTGATTTGGAAGCATGCCTTCGTTGAGAGCTCAGGTTTTGCCTGCCGATGCGGTAGCCTGGCTAATGTACTTGTGACTCTGAATATCCCGCAGGCCAGCAGGTAACCGCAAACCTGTCCGGGCAGATCCAAGTCTACTGTAGGTTGCCTGAGAGTCTTTGCTTTGAGGGAACTCAGCCAACAGGACGTCAAAGCTACCCTGAGCCCTAAATTCTAAAACCCTGTAGTAGCCCCGGTAGGCTCATAGGATCCTGAACCGAACCCTTCAAGCAACCCCGTATAGTCGCCCCTATAGAAGCCTCGAAGGGAACCCGGAAAGCAACCCCACATCATATAAACCCTACAAAGTTTCAAAAGATAAAACCCTACGAACCCCTATAGAAACACACTTTAAGACCCTTCGAGGCCCTGTGAGACCCCATCAGACTCATATATAAATCCCTAAGCCCTAAACCCGAAACCCTGAACCCTAAACCCGAAACCCGAAACTCTAAACCCTGAACCCCAAACCCCTAAACCCTAAACCCTTAAACCCTAAACCCTAAACCCTATAAACCCTCATCCCTTACCGCTCGAGGATCCGCCTCTTGCCGTGGTGTTGCTGCTGAACCTCTCGAGCCGGAATCGCTGCGGCCAAAAGGCCGGTCAGCCTTCTGTTGAATTGGGTGTCATGTAGGGGTTTAGGGTTTAGGGTTTAGGGTTTAGGGTTTAGGGTATAATTAGGGTTAACGGTTTAGGGTTTAGAGTTTAGGGGTTCTTATTATAATGCATAATATAATATACCCAAGAAACCCTAGGCTAATTATTAAGACCACTACATTATAGATCTGCATTCTTACCGGCAGCATGACCACCATGACCACCAGCACTATCATATCACCATCGCAGTCATGAGCACCATCTTCATTACGACTTTCAGAATACCACTGGCCTTCGCCATTGTCATCACCTTCCTTGTCACAACCATTCTCATCGCCATGGCCCTCTTCCAGGACAGCGACAGCAGACTGGGTTGACGGAGAGTCAACCCTAAACCCGGAACCCCTAAACCCCTAAACCCTAAAGCCGCAGCCCTAAGCCCAAAGCCCAAAGCGCAAAGCCGTAAACCCTAAACCCTAAACCCTAAACCCAAAGCCCCTGTGCCCTCAACTGCTCCAAGCCTCCAGGCCTTTACACGCGTGGCCTTATCAGCATTAACCCCAAACCCTAAACCCTGAAACCTCGACTACGGTTTAGGGTTTAGAAGATTAGGCTTTGGGGTTCAGGGTCTAAAGGGGATTAGGCTTCAGGGTTTAGGGGATTAGGGCTTAGGGTTGATGCTTAAACGTCTATCTCACACAGCCGCTGAAGCCTTGACCCGGATCCTGGTAAATCCGAGACATAATTCAAGAAATATGTGAGTTTCCGAAAATTAAGATACCTTATTTTGGGGTCCTTATAATCAGGATCCTACTATTTAGGGTACTATATTAGGGTCCCCTATTTTCGGAAAGCCCCATATGCCAGAGACCCTCAACCCTGAACCCCGGTGGCCAAGCCGATCTTGACCACATGAGTATGCTCGCCCCATCCCGCCCCGAACACCTGCACCGTACGGTTGATGATAGGAATCCTGCATCACCTATAATTAGGAATATACCATAATTCCCATCGTTTAGGGTCCTTAACCTTGGCATCAAAATAGCCCAACAAGCCTCATATAGTAAGGTCTTTGCGCCCAGAAGCCTTAAAATATGAGTCCTTGCAGGGTTAGGGTAAGGTAAGGCAGGATTTATATCCTCAACCGTAGTGCTCCCTAAACCCTAAACCCTAAGGGTTTAGGGTTTAGGGTTTAGGGTGCTCTGTGAAGTCTGAGCCAGACGCCGTGCCGAGGTGGCCGCAGAAGTCCTGCAGGCAATCCAGGCCAGCCGAAAACGCTGAAGGCACGGGGTTCAAGTTTAGGGTTTTAGGGTTTCAGGGTTTTTTGGCTTACAGGGTTTAGGGTTTAGGGTTTAGTGTTTAGGGCACCGGGTTCAAGTTGTCGGGCAGGGCGTAAAGTTTAAGGTTATGTGTTTAAGGACTTCGGGCTTGAACGGTTTAGTTTCTTCTTTGTTTTGTGTGGGGTTTGGGGTTCGGGGCCATGGGTTGTGGACTTAGTTTGTTTTTGGACTTGACGCTAGAGCCTAGCATTGAACACGTCAGAGACTATTCCGTCCCAGAGAGCCCCATACCCCTGAAATTAGGAATATACCTTAAATTCTGGGGTCCTTAATCTTATTATGGTTTAAGTTATATTCTTTAAGGGGTATTGGGCTCTCTGGGTTTGTCAAGACGTACTGGGCTCTCTGGGCAACACGGAGTGGCGGAAGGCTCCAAGTTCAGGTGGAGTCCTTGGAGAGGTCAGAACGGCTGATGGTATAAATCCTGCATTACCCAGAATACCCTAGGGCTCCAGTTCCCTAAATAGTGGGTTACTGGGGTACATATATATATATATATATGGTTAGTAACCCACTATTTAGGTAATTGGAGCCCTGAGGATACGGAACGTAACATAATTTCCATAGTTTAGGGTCCTTATAAGGTCATGCAGGATTTATATCACCAACAGGATCATCATCCCGCCCCGAGGATAAGAAAGCCACAAGCCCCACGACGCTAGACCCCTACTCCCAAAGCCATAAAGATGATTCCCTAAACGCATACGGTAGTACAACCCCAAGCACATAAGTCCTACAGAACATGGCCTCCACTAAACCCTAAATGCCAGCGCCTCGCTAAAAAAACAACAGCTATTTTCCTGTCGCCTTCCGCAGCCACCGGCAACTAAGACGATGAGTTTCTCGAGGATCCCTGCAAGCTAGGAAGTAACCTTTTCTCTCAGCACCTTGATATCAGGTGCGCCACGAAGGTCACAGTTCAGGGAGTGGGCGTGATTAACTTCAAGGTCTACATTGCAGTTCAGGAAGCGAGCAAGCACGGAAACCCGGAATCCGAAGGACCTTAGACACGGAATCCGAAGCCCGAAACCCCTAACCCTTAAGCCCATAAAGCTGTAGGTAGTTAGAGTCCCAGGGAAACCTCTCAACTCTACGAACCATAAGCCAGCCCTGAGCCCGAGCCTTCTCTGCATACACACACACACACACACCTTAAACCCTAAACCCTAAAACCCTAAACCCCAAGCAACGAATTCAAACCCTAAGGCGACTTCGGTCTTAAAGTACCAGAAAGTACCTATATAACAGAAGCCAGAAAGTTGGAATATGATTGCCCTCATGCCCTTAAGGTAAAGTATAAGAGGTTCTAGCACTAATCCTCCTAAACCCTGTTCCAACTGTAGGAGACCTTCACGGCTTAAGTATGTAATCCAGTACATAGGCACATTAAGCCTTAAACCCTAATCCTGATAGAACCGATTTAGGATCCCTTTTAGGAGCCTTAAGCCCTAAACCCTAAACATATGGTAATACAGAAATTACCAACAGTGTTTGGGGGGTTCCTTCTTATAATAATACCCCAAAGCCCTATTATTAAGGCCCCGGCACATGCCTAAAACCCTAGACCCTAAACCCTAAAACCCTAAACTATGGTAGGCACATGGAGCCTTAGGGAAAGAGCTCCGATTCCTGGCGCCATGCGTCGCCTCTGGCGGGGGCTGCTCCTGGGCCAGGGATTGCGCTGCCTCCAAGCAGAAACGTGGCCCAGCTCTGCCTTTGTGTTTTATTTTAAGGGGGTGGAAGCGGTTTAGGGTTTAATGACGCTTAGGCCGTAGGGTTTAGGGTTGTTGAATGATATTAAGGGTTTAGGGTTTGGGGTTGTTTGATGGTGATTTGGGTTTGAGATTTGGGGTTGTTTGGTGATGGCTTTAGGGATCGATTGGGGGCTTTAGCTTTGGGATACGGAGGGTTTGGGGTTCATGACCGTCTTTGGGGCTCTCGGCGTTGCGGAACCTTACCGGTACGAAGGTTTAGGTTTTGGAAGTGGGGGCTTGGGATTGATCGCAGATGCGGGTCGGAGGGATGTAAGGCTAAGCGCATGCATTGGGGATTCGAGAGTTTGGGCTAAGGTTTTGTAAGGCCCGCGCAGACAACGCTGATCCCTCAATACTGAGGCCAACCTAAAGTACCGTGGACATAATAATACAAGCTCCACGAAGCCCTTACACCAACCAACCCTGAACTCCTAAGCCAAAGTCCTAAACCCGCTTAGAGGAACCCCTTTACAGGACCCTTATAGCGCCCTTACCCTAAACCTTAACACCTAAACCCTAAACCCTGGAACCTTAAAGCGAACCGATGTGGATCCTTTGCAGGAACCCCCTAAAAGACCCCCTGTAATATAGGAGCCTTAATAAGTAGCATAGGCCTAGGGCTTTCGGGCCCGTTATACTCGAATTATAACAAGGAACCCATGTCCTTAATACTATACCTTAATCCAGCAGAACCTACTTTTTTGCACCGCCCCTATAAATCCCATGTTAGGGTTTCTGATAGGAACCTACAAAAAAGTGGGTTCTGGTAGGTTAAGGTAAGTAATTCTCAAGGTCCCCTGTAGTACTTAAAGGATCATGGGATTTAGTAAGTAGGGTTATAATTAAGGTAACGGCACTTATACGTACTTATAACCCCAATTGAGGGACTTTACAACCTTACTTACCTTAAACCCTAAACCCTAAACCCTAAACCGTAAACCCTTACTTACTAAGTCCCATGATCCTTTAAGTAAGGTAAGTAATTCTTAAGCCCCCCCCCTCCTGTCATGCGAGGCAGGCCTTCGTGCGATGGATCGAGCCCTCCGGGTCCGAAGTCCAGGCCCCCGAAATTTAGGGCTGAACCCTAAATCCTAAACCCTAAACCCTGAATCCTAAACCCTAAACCCTAAACCCTAAACCCTAAACCCTAAACTCTAAACCCTAAACCCTAAGCCCTAAACCCTATAAAGCCTAACTAACGGTTTAGGGTTTAGGGGTTTAGGGTGGGTTGGTTTAGGGTTTAGGGTTTCGAAATTTAGGGTTTGGGGTTTGGGGTTTGGGGGTTTGGGGTTTAGGGTTTCGAAATTTAGGGTTTGGGGTTTTTGGCGGGTTTGGGGGGTTTGGGGCCTGGGGCTTAGGGTGCAAAAGGCATACATATAATAGGGTTTAGGGGCTTTCGGGTTTCGCGTTTAGGCTTCATTGGGTTAGGGTTTACGGTTTTAAGATTAGGTTCAGGGTTTTGGGGGCACGGTTTAGCATTTATGGGCTTTAGGGCTTAAGGTGCGAGGTCCAGGACAGAGAGTTGAGTGCTTACTGTAGGAGCCTTAATAATTTGAGTAGGGGTGTTGGGGGTTCCTTATTATAAT